GACTCTAAGTACTTGAATACTTGGGAGTTTTAGGATGAAAGCCTGAGTTCTGGAGTCCCCAAATGGGCCAGGCTTGGCCACCAGCTCCAGAATGCCAATTGAGGAGACCAGCAGAGGTGAAAGTCAGGACAAAGCTTTAATCAGCATGGCTACACTGGGAAGTACAAATGAAGAAGTTCACGATGTGTCTTCAAGGGTTGACAGAGAGGAAAAGGTTTTAAATAACTGGGGACAGAGGTAAATACTGAGGCTTTGCTTAGCTGAAGTGGGGAGCATAGCTGGCAGAGTAGAAAATATGGGTTTACCAAACCATGAAGGACTTCCACAAAATAGTTTCCACCTATATACCCTACCCATAAAGCAAATCTTAATGACAGTGGAGAGTTAATGTTCATAGTTCATAATAGCTATATTTTATTCACATTATTTTACTATGATTGGTATTCAATGAAAAATTATGTTCTGGGTGTTTTGCTTTATATTTCCTTTAAAATGTATATTTTAGTACAAGTATAATATAAAGGCACTTGGCCTGGTTATTGCCCATTGCTTCTAGATCCACTTCTGGCCCTGTCCTCATTCTGCTCTGTAGTTTAAGAGGTTGAATCCTATAAATTATACCACCCAAGCTTTCTTACCAACTGGTTTCCAGTTAGTGTTAGCGACAAACAAAAACTGAAAAAGACAAAAAGGCAGGATGAGATGAAATGCTCAGTTCTTCTGCCCATTTCTTTCTATTTCAGGCAGTATTTCCAAGAAGCTGTGTTTGTCCACTGTTCTGGCTCCTACCCAGGTAACTCAGGCTCTGGAGCTTGTATAAAACTGTATTCTGCCTTTGTGCCTTCAGCCCTGCTAGTAAAAGAAGGAACATCCTGGCTTAGGTTTCTTGACTCTTGTTGGTACTTTCAGCTCTTCAAAGATCTTCATGGTAATGAGTTCTCAGCATTAAAAATTTCTTCTGGAATAAATGATATATAATTTTTCATATGGATTGGAGCCTGATTATTATCATTGTTGTCTTTGAATTAGCCTTTTTATATGAAAATGAAGAAAAGGCAAAAATATGTATAGATATAGAATGGTGAGGGGTTGGAGTAGTACTATTTATCAAAAGCATGAATAAATCTTCTAGGAGGCTGGAAATATTCTATATCTTGATCTGAGGGTGGTTCCATGGTCATAATCATATACATATATATATACATGCCACATTTCCATTACATGTACATTGACATTTTAGGGTTTTTTTCCCCCTGTTACATTTATTGGTACATTTTAGGTATACAGTACAGTTACTTTCATCTCATTGGGATCTTGTACCTTTACATGATGTATCTTGGTTCTTGTTTTTCCCCATTCCCCTGTCCTCCCTTCACCCCCTGCCCCCTTCCCTATTTACAAAGATTTTGTTTCCATTTTTTCCTTTCCTCATATTTTTCATTTTCCTGTCTTTAATTTTACTTTTTTTAAATTTGCAAAATATGCTTTTTTTTTTTAGAAGGATCCCTGGGCCCTATGGGTATGCACATCCTTTTCAATCTTGGGTCACACACAAGCAAGGTATCTCTGTTAGGAAAACATTCTACCTCAGCATGTTTGTTTTTGTTTTTCCCAAAAGCCAGTGAAATCTGTACGCCCATTTTCCTTCTATTTATGACGACTCCTCTTACCTGAATAGTTTTCCCTCACTAGAGCCCTATTCATTATTAAACATCCGTAAGGCGGTTCCTAAAGTTTACATGGACCATGACATGGAATTTTAGACAAATATTGTTCAATGAATTGTATTTTCAAATTAAATTTAATGAACTTTTTTGATAACTGTGAAGTGTCTACTAATTTACCAGGATTTAAATGTTTACCAGCTTTTAGCTTTTTAAGATCTAGACCTTTTTTAGGTGATTCTAAAAATTTGGTGACTATTAAATAGGAAATTAGTTCTAAGCTATTTTTTATTGAAGATTGCAAACATACTTGACAACAAGAAAAGAAGATACTAAATAAAAATTTCAAATATACATATATATGACGGCAAAAAAGGATATGGAATAAAAATTTATGCAACACAGACTGATAATCCAAATACATTATTAGTTTAATATGATCTTCAAACATTATATGTTTTTTCTCATTTTCTTTTTGTATAACATTTTTGAAATATTGTATTTACAAATAAAACAAAGTTTCATATTATAGTTGAGAAACTATAAATAGGAAATTATTCTAAACTATTATTTTTTTGTTTTCACGTTCCTTATTCATATCCTTAAAAATCCCATGCCAGCCTTGTCTCTAAATTCTCTCTAACACTGTCTACTCTTCTACAGTTCTTAACATCATTTGTCAATACGCCTACTGTCTTTCTTCTCAACAAATCATCACCTAAATATTTCTTCTTTATTACTTGATATGGTTTATCTCTATTGTGTATTTTAGGCACTTTCTGTTTTAAGTTAATTTGAGAAAAAATCATAAAAAATTCTATGTTAGTGAAGGTAATGGAAACAATGATGTCATTAAAAATAAGATACTGGCATTATTAACAGCTGTGAGAACTTAAGCAAGCCACATTGATAAAATTTCTTGAACAATATTTTTATAAGGTCAAGGTGCTTCTGATGCAGAAATTACCTTTAAACTATTATTTTTAGTTTAGTGGCAGTGTATGGACATATTGGTTCTACTGGCTGTGAATATATACACAACCTATCCTATATTTAGTTTCACACAGGCCACAATAATTTATCTTTCTTAAAATATGAAGACACTTAATTAGAAATTTAAAAGAACCTTAAAAATTATGTAGGCTACCTTATTTTCAAATCTTTTTTTTTCATTAAGTGTTTTGGTACTTTTAAGATATTCATCATTGGGATCTTATACCTTTACATGACAGGTCTTGGTTCTCATTTTTTCCCCTTACCCCTGCCCTCCGAATCTTTACAAATGGAAACAAACACACCACAGAATTATAAAGCCGTTATGTCATTTACATTATCATATGAAGCTAAGCTAACATTGCACTGATTTTTTAAAAATTTATTTCTACACTTGAGAGAAACTTAGCCAAACATCCTGTGTAAAGTTATATTCCTGAAGTCTCCCATAGTCATCTGGAATTGCCAGTCTAATCCAGGCGTAAAATTCTAAGTACTATAATTTCAAACTTCTCTTTGAGACTACAGCTGACTCCCCTCGTCCACTAAATGTTAGTAAATCAGCAGATAGAACCAATTAATTTGCTTAAAATATCTTCCTCCTTAATTTGTCCCAAGAGAAAAGAAAATGAGATTCTTTGACCTATTAAGATGATTTAACAATTTGGTCTTTATCATCTATCTATCTATCTATCTATCTATTCATTTATTGATCTATTACTTGATAGATTTTATGGTATTTAGAAGATGGGGTGTAAAAAGATAAGGAACCAGATTAATGGAAGTAGTATTTGGAATATTAAACACCAGATATCTAAAGAGTGCTATGTATACTGAAATGAGTCCTGAATATCTTTTTCTTTCTTTCTTCCTCTAATTTTTCTTTCTTTCTTTCTTTCTCTTTCTTTTTCTTTTTTCTTTCTTTCCTTTAGAGGCTACAAAATTAATCATAGAAATGAAATGGACATATAGTATATCTATTTGCATTTCAAAATAGCACATGACAAAACAACATGAACTTTTAATATTAATTATGTTATAAAAATCCAGAGCTATCTACTGAAAACAGTGCTTTCCAGATTGTCTGACTATGGAACCATTTTCTGCAAAATATCTAATAAAATCTTTAAAAATTTGGACTGGGTACAGCATTGGGAAACAATAGTTTAAGCCCAGACAATAATGATACTCTCCACTGGACAGGCAGCCTTTGGCACACTGTGTTGTTAAAAATTTTTTTAAAGAAAATCAGACAAACTATAATTATTTTCCAAATGAGGACACAAGAGTAATGAATTATATAAAGACATACTGTAAATGGACTAATTTAGAATTACAGATACCTTTAGGAGTATGTTTGTTCTAAAAGTTATTTTCAGAATTTTCAATGAGTGTCACATAGGGAAGGAATTGGATGCATTCCGCTTAGGCAATCTCAAATACAAGTACTATCGAGAGCCATAGGGATGCAGACTTTGGCTGAACATAAATTTCTGTGAGAGCACTGGTCCTAGGTTTAACAGCCTGGAATTACACATCAGCCCTGCAGCTCTTCGCTGGGCATCCCTGAACAAAGTATGCAGCTTCTTAGAACTCAGTTTTCTCCTCTGTAGGGTAAGAAAGCTCATGGAGGCACTGCAAAGGGGAAACCCTATATTGAAAAGAATCACAGGATTCCTGGCATATAGTAAGTACTTGATATCTGAAATTACTAGACCATTAGTAACACTAAGAGCTACCCAATGATGAAAAGACACGGAACGTCTAACAGTAATAAATATCTCAATAATTGAACAGTCAAGCACATATTTAATCATTAAGAAAAAAAAATCCGAGAACTTAAACGTGACTCCTCTCCTATCTTTATGCCCTAATACCCAAATATAGAGGAATCCCGGAGTTAAGGAAACATAGCAAACAATGAACCATAACTCATAACTGTGGGGTTCTAGTTCTCATGCTGCTTTTGTTTTGTTTGTTTTTGATATAGGGATCGAACTTGGGACCTTGTGCTTGCAAAGCAGGCAGCAGAACCACTGAGCTAAATCCCTGTTCCTCTCATGCTGCTCTTTGACCTGAGACTTCCTGAATTCTGACAAATCAATCATCATTTAAAGTAATAGAACGGGGGTGGGGGTGGTAAGGTTTTAAAGTCAAGAGACGTGACTTCAGGAAACTCCTGTATAAAACCCAGAAGCAGGTGACAGTATTTTGTCAAAGACTGCAGCAGCTGGAGATTTCTGAAAATGATTCTGAGATAAACAGGTTTATGCTGCCCCGTTTATCCCAGTGTTTTGCCTCTTTAAAAAGCCACTTTCCCACTTGGAATTTAATTTACGGCAGCTGCTGAGAAAACAGGAAGCAATTCCAATGCAATCTGCTTTTATGACTTTCTGATCTTTAGGAGTTTTAAAACAAGTTTGGATTCACCTAACTTGGTTTAATATTTCTATTTATTTTTAATTTTCTTTTAAACTTCAAGGGTTAACAAATCAGTGCAAAATCCTGACAAATACTTAGTAAGCTTTGCACACCCGCTTTGAATGCATATTAAATTCAAAACAAGACCTCCTCCTTTTTTCTTTTCTTTCTACTTCTTCTTCAAATAGAAACTGGTGGGGGTGGGGAGAAAAAGAGGGAACTGGGACGAGAAGGAAAGGAAGTTAAACGTTGTTTCTTTCTCTGTCTTCCTTAGAAAACACAATATGGCATCTTCCATGAGGAGCTTGTTCTCTGATCACCGCAGATATGTTGAATGTTTTCGGAGGTTTCTCTACAATTCCACGGAACACCAGTGCATGCTGGAATTCATGGACAAGCAGCTGCCAGGCATAATAGCAAGGTAACAAAAGGGGACGTTTTTTGTTAAAGGGAAATGCCTCGGATTGCTGTGCGCCGAGGATAGACGGTGAGCCCAGCCGGCTCAGGGAGAAGGGCCAGTCTCTGCGGACAGCCCGCACCCACCCGCCCTGTCGGACCTGCCTCCTGCAGCGCCTGCTTAGACATTTGCTCTCAATACTCAAGAGGCTGGGATTTGGGCTGCTATTTCCAGTTGCACGGAGTTAAGTGTTAACTATTTGAAGGCACAAATCCTTGTTCGTTTGGGAAAAGATAAGATACCAATTTTTGAACTCGGATCTTTCATCCCTCGCCCAACTTTTACATTTCAAAAAGTCCCAAATAGAATATGATTTCTCATTAGAATAAAATATAAATAATTACCAATACTATTTGTGCCTGAGAATTGAGTGGGTGCCCCTCGGTTCTCATAATATTCATTTAAAGACGTTTGTCTTTACCCATTATTATCATTATCATTCTGTTAAAAAAAAAAAAAAGCTTTTCCTTTCAACTTAGTATTAGCAATGCAGCCCTTAAAAAAGAGCATTTTCCCACTATCAGTGAAAGACACTACTTTCTATCCTTCTCACAGACTCCTTTTATTGGTGATTAATGTGTTCAATTTGTGCCACAGCTGATAAGCATTCTGAAAGTAACAGATTCCACATGCTAAAGATAATCAAATCGCCTATCTGGGGATGAATTGCTATAACTCCCTCTGCTTCAGGAAATAATGATGGAAAACTGGGAAGAAATGACTGACTGCAGATCCAATTTGCAAATAGCAAAGAAACCTGATATTTTATCTTTTGCTGAAATTCTTGTAGGCCTGAAATTATTTCAACACCACAGTACCTCTGCCAGGCCAGAACAGACATTGTTAAATGAATGTGGAATTCTATTTCACCTCCTATTTTCTGTTTTGTGTGTTTCACTTTTTAGATATTATAGTATTACATATTAAAAATTAACATGTAATATGATAGCGATACAGAAATCAAAGCAGATATCAAATATAGATAACTTCTGATCAAGGAAAAATTATAGTTTACTTCTTTTGCAGGGATCATTTGAAAATTAAAATAAGTTAATTTCTCCATTCTTGTCCAGTTTTAAAAGTTTGCATTCATTTTTGTAGCTTATTCAGATCCTTGGTTTTCCTCAGCCACACTGCTTAGTTTGAAGAGGTACCATGGATAGACATAATGTAATCAATGATAAATGATAACCCCTACCCTGTCTTTAAAGTATATCCAGTCTGGTTGGAGTGAATGTTGCATGTAAATTTTGTAAAGACTGATGAATTTTCAATAATAATTAAATTTGCATTATAATGATAATGCATAATTAGGTATCTTAATCAAAATGTCATTTATTAAGAAAGTAATTTGGGGGCCTGGGATTTAGCTCAGTGGTGCCGCCGCCTGCCTCGAAAGCACAAGGTCCCAAGTTCGATCCCTGGTACCAAAAAAAAAATTACAAAGAATAAAAAAAAGGGAAGTAATTTTTTTTCTAAAAGAAATGTTTGAAATTAGATTTAGTTGAAGGCCCTTTTAATTTTTTGCCTCAAGTTGTTTATAAGCTATGAAGCACCAGGGAAGAGGTCCCAAATCTCAGGGCGTGAGGGCAGGATTGGATGAGTGAGAGGCTCTTTATAGTAACTACATGTGGACTTGGCTGTTAATTGGGTGTAAACTTTGACTGACTTACTGTAACATTTTCAGTAGAGTCAGGCTTGTTCATTTCTTTAAGGAGTCAAATGGTTCCAGAAAGCTTGTAACAACAGCAACAAATAACGGGTCCCTTACCCACCGCTCCCACTGTGATTCCTACCCTGCAGAAGCAGTCCTTTCCACCGTTCAAAAGCTTTTGTCCTTATGAGAATTTCTTTCATAGTACGAAATAGCATGCTGTTCTTCTAGTTCTTAAATTCATTATATTAAAATAACTAAATAAACTTACACATTTTCCCCATCTATAATATCAGTATAGTCATGTCAAAAATTTTGGTGAGCCAGGCATGGTGGCACATGCCTGTAATCTCAGCATTCGGGAGGCTGAGGCAGAAGGATCGCTGTGAGTTCGAGACCAGCCTGGGCTACATAGTGAGTTCCAGGTCAGTCTCAACTACATAGTAAGACCCTGTCTCAAAAAACAACAAAAAAAATTTTTTTTGGGGGGTGAATAATGTGGTTTTCATGCCATTTTGCCTGTGAATATATTATTATTTGAGCAATAGTTATGCTATAATTACATTTTCTTTCATGCACAATTCTGTGTTTTTCCTAGAGCTATTATTTTCTTAATTTTGGCTTCTTTTCTAAATTTTCTATGTGGCTATCACTACATTTATGCCCAAACAGATGTATTACTCTCCCCTCAATATATCTGAACATATCAAATAATTTGTTTATTTTTCCCTCTGGAAATATCTTTACAGGAGCCCTCTGTTTCTTATTCCAGTCTGGGAAGATCTGCTTTAGGTCAGCTATGTAACTATTGGTGAGGGAATTTATTTTACTTCCTAGAAATTCTCTTCTCAGCAGTATTTGATTCCCCAATGGCAGATCACTAGCAGTTAAGTGTTGATAAATAGCAAACTTTTTGAGTCTTTATATGTTTAAATGTTTTTGTTTCTGTTTATCTTTCTTAGATAGGTTGACTGGGTATAAAATTCTGTAAATGATTTTGTATCACAAAATTAAAGATATATTTCTGTTGTCTATTAGCTACTAGAGTTGCTACCTTACCCAGTGTCATTCAGTTTCTTCAGTTTTGATATATGGCATTTTTTGGTTTAATTTTGTTTGGTTTGTTTACCCTACTTTAAATATTTTAGTATCTTTTCCTTATCTCTCATTTTGAACTTATAAGATACTGAATTGTGAGTTGAATCTTTTTCATCCAGTTTAGAATATTCCATGGATTATTTCAATTGAGATTCAGATCTTTCGGTTCTGGGAAACTTTATTAGTATTTAATCATTCCTCTTTTCTATTTCCTGTTTTTAGAATATTTATTCATCAAATATCAAACCACCTAGATTGCTTCCCTAGTTTTTCTATAGTCTGGTTTTCTACAACTTTATGTTTTAGCTCATCTATTATTTTTCTGCTATTATAGCTTTTAATTTCAAATAATGTTCCTTTTTAAAGTATCCTTTTTATCATCTTTTTAATCATATATATGTAATACCTTCTCTTCTCTTATCTATTATAAAATCTCCCCGTGCTCTCTGCATGTATCTTCTGAGATTCCTTTCTCTGTTCCCTTTTTCTTTTAGTGCTTATTCTCATGGCAGAAGAGAACTCCACCTATCTGATGAGCCATGGTTGTCTACTTGATACAAAATAACAAGGCATGAAATGTGGTTCAGGTCTTAATTTTATATGTAAGGGAAGGGTTTGTTGAGTGAGTGGCTAATTGTATTAACAGTTAATTGTATTAACTGAAGGGTACCTCAGCTGGTCACTGTGAGATCTTCAGGTATTGATACATCTTCACTGGGACTGTTTATTCCCCTAGAGAATAATTTTTTAAAATTTTAATTTTATTGGTACATTTAATGTATACAATATAATGACATTTGTTGTTGGAAATTTGTACCTTTACATAATCAGTCTTGGTTCTTATATTTTTCTTGGTTATGAGGATCCAGAGAGTTAATTTGTATAGGTCATCTGGCAATACCAAGAATCGTATAATTGCTTTTTTTTTTTTTTTTGGTAGCAGGATCAAGCTTGGGTCCTTGTGCTTGCAAGGCAGGCAGCAGCACCACTGAACTAAATCCCTGGCCCTAGAATCATATAATTCACATAATGAATGCTTGTATGTGCAAGTATATTTTCAAGAGATTTAGATTAATTAAATCACTGAGTACTCATGATTCCTTCAAGTCTTAGATACACTTAATCATGTGCTGTTTTACAAAGAGATCATGTAACTTGCTCAAAGTGACATTTCAATAAGCTGGGAGATCAGGAGATCAGTCTGGATTCTCTGGTTTGTGACTTCCCTGTGCTATTCAGAAACAAAAAAATTTTTAAGAATGAATGAAAGTTTTGGGTAGATAGGAATGGGTATAGTAAGCCTATGATTATGAGTCTGTGTTTTGCTTCTACTAGGCACTTCTTTCTCTCTCCTTATATCCTGTTTCAGCAGACTCTAGGTTTCCCCCTCTTTTTTGAGGTCATTTTCAATCTTAATGCCATCTGGCATCTGTCCGGTTTTTAACTTGCTGCTGTCAAAGGCATTCACATTGCCAAATTCAAGGGAGACTTCATTTCTTTACATTTATTTGTGGTTTGCTCTTTTGCCTTTCATTTCACTGAGCGCTGTCTCTCATTCTCAGGGTAACTTTCTGAGCTTTACCATATTCCTTCTATCTCTCTTTTTTTTGGTACCGGGGATTGAACTCGGGTCCTTGCACTTGCAAGGCAGGCCACCGAACCGCTGAGCTAAATCCCTGGCCCCCTTCTGTCTCTTTTTTACATTATTTATAATCCACTGACTTGTAAAAGTTGTCATTGCATTATCACTGCACTGCATTTCTAACTAGGAAATATCATGGGTTGTGGAGTGTACTCTCTTAGATTTGAATATTGCTTTTTGATAATGCTCCAGAATACATAGCTGACTCTATCTCTGTCCTAATCTGTCATGTACAAATATTCACTGGAGTCAGATTTCTTAAAATCTGATGAAAATGTAAACCTGGTGTCAAACTTTCTCCTCCAGGTTCCTTTCTGGCATCGCTGTGTGTCCAGCAATCTAAGCTGCTGACACAGACATCACTGTGTCCTCACGTGGTTTCCCGAACTTGTCATGCTCACCTACAAGCAGCCTTGCTAACTTACTTCCCTGTTCCACTGTATGTTCCATGTTGGAACTATAATTCAGGGTTTGTTTATCTACCATTCCAACTTGAGAGAAATGTAGTATCTTCCTCATTTTTAAGTCTCAATATCTAGAATGAGTACATAATAAATGAATAATAAACATCTTTTGGTTGAAAGAAAAGTAGAAAGAAGGGAAGTGGGAAGACCTAAACTTGTTCCACTTAGAGTCCAGATATATGTAAACCCTGCTTTCCTTCCCTCCATTTTAGTGAATGGCTTACAGTATCAGGAGACACAAGGTACACATTTCTGTGTTCCTATTCTCCAAGAAATGTCTGGATAAATGTCATTTTCTACCTCTGAGACATTCATGACGCTCTTTGTAAGTCTTCCCATTCAAGATCATTAATGAAGAACTTATATTTTCAAAGAGACTTTAAAGATGGCAATGTAACCACTGAAATGGTTGGGGGATTTCATGTTGACCTAGTTTCTGTTTATTGTGTATTTAGTCTGATCTCTTCAAATAGACTTGATAATAAAATTTTTAAAAGCATGTAGCATATTTTTCTTAAACTACATACTTTTATTTTTATTTTTATTTTTCAGGATTGGAGATACAAAGTCAGAAATTAAGATTCTGAGCATAGGCGGAGGTGCAGGTATGAATAATGCATTTTAAAATTTTGTGTTTCACTGCAAACATCATGCTATTTAAAAGCCATTTCTCATTCTTTACAAAAGCTTCTTTCCTTTGTGTTGTGGAAAGGATCAGTTTATTAAAACTAGCAATATCAGCTGTTCATGGAAGTCCACACCTGTTATCCCATTACTCTGTAGGCTGAGGTGAGCCCAGGAATCTAGATCACATTAAGCCACATAATAAGAAAGAAAAGAAGTAAGGAAAAGTAGGAAAGGAAGAAAGCCAGATAGTCTACTAATATGTTTTCAACTAAGATTAACACCCTCACACTGGTTTATAGGGTTTGGGACATTAGCCTTCACTGTTATCTCTAGTGTGGAGAAAAACAGATGGGATAAACTTGAGGTTTGCTTTACCCAAAATGACATTCACAGAAAAAGGAAATTTCATAATAACTTCTTTAAACTTGTACCACTTATATAATGGTACACAGACTGGTCACTGGTTTGCAAACAGTTATCGATCCATGAGGGGATTATAAACATTCACCAGAATGTAAGCTGATGGTCCCTTCATTGACAGGGTCTCACTGTGGGGAGAAACTGTTTAACGACATAGTTATTTTGTGTTATTTTGGACCTAGTTGTTGAATTACTCTGGCCTAAAGTGTTCTGTTCCTCTGACTGAATTTTAAAACTGCCTTATAAGTTTTCAAAATGTTCTCTAACCCTTTTTTATAAACATGTCATGCTCTTACTACTCATACAATTGCTGGTTTTATCCTAGGGTAAAGTATAGATTGAAGGTGCTATTGTTTTCCACATCCCCTAATGATCTGTGTGACCTTACCTGAAACATAAGCTAAAGTCTGTCCTTTGGTAAAATGAGAACAATAAATTTTATCTCATCAGAGTCTAGAAAGAATAGTATAGGTAACATTCATAAAGTGCTTAATACATTGTTAGCGCTCCTATTAGTTAAAGGCTGTACCCCTCTGCAAAAATAAAGCATAAAATTTTATCTTAAGACTTTGCCTCATGTCAGTCCTGAATAGTATCTGCTTTAAATTTTTTTTTGGTACCAGGGATTGAACTCAGGTCCTTGTGCTTGCAAGGCAGGCCACCAAACCACTGAGCTAAATCCCCAGCCATATCTGCTTTAATTTTAAGTGACTAGTCACTTGGAAGTCCGAGTTAACATGTTAACATATAAAATATGTGAGCATATTATTTATCTTTCTGTCTTTATTTATATATCATTTCCTTTGTCTGAGTGCTGGCCTAGTAATGAGTGCCACTTAGTAACAGTGGCCATGATACTGTCACTCATAACTTGTTGCCAAATAGTTATTCTTTGAGTCTTAGTACAAATGTTCCAGTGCTTCATGAATGAGATGAACTCTGGTCCATATTAACTCAAAGAAAACAAAAAACTCTCTACTGAAATAGAATACCTAGTTTTTAAAGACATTATAAAATACACTGTAATACTGTATAATGTAATAAAACTAATCCCTAAAATAATTTTACTTTATAATCATACACCAAAAAAGTAGAAATGAACAAGGACAAATAATAGAGGATATTTTCATGAATAATAGTAGAAAGAATAAGCACTCTCTTGTTGCTTACTGCTACTATAAGCTCAAAGGACTTTAATAGTGATGCATTGCCTAAAGAATGTCCTATTAATTTATTTAACCAAGACAGTCATTTCCAGTGTGTTTCACATATGAGTTTAAGCAACTAACAGGCAATGAGACTATGATTTGATAGTATCATTTGTGCTTGGACAAGAAGAGAAACCTTGCAAAGAAAAGTAATTAAAAACAATCTCTATCATGGCCCAGTTAATTGACCTTTTAGTATAAAGTTAATTGAATTTCTAATGCAAATTTATTCAGTTGCTTATGAGCTATCTTGAGAAAAGAACATTTTGCCCACACAGTGATTCCTTACATCAGGGTACACCTAGGAGCTTATATAAAGAACTTATTAAAATAAGGGGAGCAACACTTGGAGTCTTCCTGATGAAGCCTGAGCATCATATTAATAACAAGGTAACTTGGGGAGATTATAGGCTCCCTCTGAGGTCATTCTTCATGAGAAATTGATCAGAAACATAAGTGGAACTCCAAGAGAAACTTAAATTATGGATACTTAGCTTGCACTACCCAAATAAACTATATGCGATCCAAAGCAATGTGCTTCAAATCCATAGGTCTTGGTGTGCTTGTCACAAAGGAGCAGTGTTTAGAGGGGAAAGGACACTCCATATTAGTTAGTTTATCTTATCTCATAACCTGTCCCTGTGCTTTCCTTAGAGACATGTTCTCTCTACTTGTTTTACAATGTACAGCGAAGAGTTTTCTATTATCCTATGGCTTGATTGTCACTTAAGAATCCATCACTCAACAATAATCCTTGGCAGATGAGGCCCTCATCCTTGTCTTACGCTTTGCACTCATAGCACGTCTCACAAATTTGCAGTTCAATCTTGGCTTACCAGCTTATCTTTGGGAATACTGCCTACAGATTTTTTTCTTGGTCCAAACAAGTGCAGATGATTTTCTGCATATCCCTGGTGCAACATTGTCTCTGTAGTCACCATGGTGCTATGACTTCTCCCAGCACAACTGAAAAACATACCCAAACAACAAACTAAAAGCCTTCCCAAATGAAATTGCAGCTTTTATATCACTTTGAGATCACATTCTTTGGGGAGCCTATTTGGTTTTCTTTTCAGAAAGTTGAGCAAAGAGCGTACATATGCATCCCCTCTATTAGCCTCTCTTTTTAGAGGCTGATATTTGTGTGGAGAGAATTTGCACAGTTTATGAAAAAACAAGATTTTTTAATGGAAGATGTTTGACATTTTAGTTCAGAAGTCATGCAGTTATTAGGGATCTAAGCAGTGAAAAAAAGAAATTGATAGAAAACTCTTTAGTGTAATCTTTTGTATCAATAAAATTCAACTGATAAACAGCATTGTTATCCATATATATTTTGGATTAAGGATAATGTATAAGATAAATATATAAACTAAAGGGAGAGGAGGAAGAAAAGGGGAGAGAAAGAGAGAAAAGAAGGGGGGGAGAGAGAGAGACAAAGAGAGATTGGTAGGAAAGCAAATAATGAATAGAAATATAGACCATGTAGCTTTCATAAGCCCAAACTGTGAATATATCTAAATATCTATATATCTATATACATATGTCATGAGTTTATGTTCTTTCATGAACACAATGAGCATCTAGGATTGCTTTTCAGGGTCTCTACTTACTCATATCACATTAATTTCAGCAATTGTTTTTAGGCTTTGAGAATAATTACATTGTATTCTAAATCTCACAGAATTTGCTTTTTGGGTACATCTTCAACATTGATGCTTCCTAAAATTAACCACCCAGTGAAGTTTCATTATTATACAACTTTTCATGAATGCTTTTTTTAATGCTCAGTGTTACATGGGGAAAAAGAAAAAAAGAAACCCATATATTTTTTGTAAGCGAGAATGGTATTCATTTACAGTGGATATATTTAAACCTAGAAAAATGTCCCAGGAGACAGTAATGGGCAATGAATTCTTGCTCTGGGCTTTGCTAAAATGAGAATCATTTTATCTGTTCCACTGTTCAGTTCTTTTGGTCAAATGTCAGAAAGTTTTAAAGTGTTAGATAGGTCTAAAATTCAAATAATTTCATTTTATCCAACTTTCTATTTCTTTTTTATTAACCTACTATACGTCAGCTTAAGTCCTATACCATATATTAAAATTCTAAATTTTTTTATTAATATTTTTAAATCCATTCAACAACTCACATATGAAATATCATCAAATGGTATGGACCCTTTCATGACATCTTTTTGGTAATAATTTTACTGATATCTGTAGAAAGTAACTAGGTTAAGTTGTTTTCTTGTTATTCAGCATGTATCCATCAGCATTCTTACAGAGATTAAAAAATAGAAAACAATTTAGATACCATCAGCACCCTCACTTTACAAATAAGAAACCTGAATGTCATTATGTCAGAACAAAACCCAAGTATCTTTAGTCCAGTCCAACAATGTAGGAAACAGATATCAGAATTAATAATTAACCTACCAAAGGAGAGATTAGGTACTTAGTAATGGCCAACCACTTTAAATTTCGATATCGGAGTCCTAATCTTGTTTCCTTTCAAAAATGACATGTTAAAGCAATACTGAAGTTTAATTCTAGAAGCTAGTTGGGCAGCAATAGAAAGAATATAGTTAGAGTTAGAACGAAAAAAGCTAGGGTGTCAGGTTTAGAAACAAGAAAGAGGTTAAAAAAAAAAGACTAATGTTTTCCAGTGACGTAGAGTAAGTCAATTGTTTAGATCAACAAATTAGAAATGATTGGGATGTCTAGAGAAATTGGGGATTTTTAGTTACCCAGAAAAAATAACTTGAATATATTTATGGCCATCTTTCAACAAACTGCAAAATGTTTGTTCCCAAAAGGCTAGTGTTTGAAAGATCCAGAAAGGGATTTCTTGGTTGAGTGTAACACTCGTTCATGATAATGCCTATCCAGAAATGAACATGTCTTGAAAAATAAAGCCATCCATCACATTATAGTGTCAGCTGGGCTAGAAAAACACCTTTCAAATATTTTACAGAAAGGACTCAGACACTGATATCTTGAATGTTTGGTTTATTAAAGTTGCTTTTAATCCTTAACAGTCCATGGTTTTATGAGTAACCTTTTAAGAAAGAGGTAGGCTTTTGTAGTCATATGGTTACCACCGTGTTTGGTTGTATTGAGGAGGTGGAATTTTAATGGGGTATTTAGACGTGCAGACAATGTTCAGTCCAGGTTCTCACTGCTTACAACTTAAAATGGACAAGAACTAGTTTACTCATGTATAGGATGACAGCAAGTTTTCCATTATTAGGAGGTAAGGAATATGTAATTATAAGATATAAGACTACCTACTGAAGATAATCATAGCTTGGGGCTGTGGATATGATCTATTGTTAAAAATATTCATAA